GGCGGGTGGATCACGAGGTCAAGAGATCGAGACCATCCTGGTCAACACGGTGAAACCCCGTCTCTACTAAAAATACAAAAACATTAGCTGGGCATGGTGGCGCGTGCCTGTAATCTCAGCTACTGAGGAGGTTGAGGCAGGAGAATTGCCTGAACCCAGGAGGTGGAGGTTGCGGTGAGCCGAGATCGCGCCATTGCACTCCAGCCTGGGTAACAGGAGTGAAACTCCGTCTCAAAAAATAAATAAATAAATAAAAATAAAAAATTTTAAAAGGGCCACTGCTTTTAAGATATAACCCCTATTTTTTAAACACATAGGCTGGACTTTATCTTGCTCATACAAACTTTTAAAATGATAACCCTGGGTTTAGCTTGAAAAGCACTTATTCTTCTTTGTCTGATGGATCTTAAAATTTTCTGTCCTTATAACTTACCCGATGTCACCACTAGGGAAAAAAGAGTATTCTTTTTTACAATAAAAGGTTATTTTTGTATGAAACTTTTGGATTTCACATTTATCAATTCATTTGATTTTCAAAATTGGTTTTGATGGAGGTGCAGGTCAGAAGCAGAGTGGAAACCAACCTGTCCTAGTCCTATTGCACCCATTTTCCCATCAGCTGACTCAAGAATTGTATGGAAAGTGGGTAGCTTTATCCTCAGAGGCCCTCCTGGATCATCTCGGAACCTTTCCCAGGTGACAGCGTTTCAGGAAAATGGGTTTCTTTTCAAAGACAGAATGTCTTTAGGACAGAAAGGGAGTGCCTTCTAAGTATGTACATGAATGGTTCATTTCTTAGCTTGATTTTCTTTCCAACGATTCATGATGTGACCTTCTAACAAGTTTATTTTCTTAAGTCTAAAAAGTGTGGACCTGATACCCTTTTACTGAGTAAAGAGAAACTGAGACATACAGTTTGGAAACTGATGGTAATTTCAGCATTGAGACCTTGGTGGGACTTTGGAGCTCACTACCAGACCGGTATTTGACAGTTAAGCTTGTGTATAGTTACTCTAAGAGGCTTGCTAATTCCCTGGGCTGGCCTCATCTGGGGCCAAGTCAATACGTTCAGGAAGCTAATTAGATCTCTTTGATGGGGGTGATCAGATTCCAGGGATCTGACTCTACAAACTCAAAAAAAAAACAAACAGAAAAAAAACCAAAGACCTGATTGATAAATTACGGTCCCAGTAATTTGTACTTAACCTTTATGTGCCTCTGAAAAATGGAGGAAGTAGTAGCACCTATAATAGGGTTATTATGAAGACTAAAATGACATTATTCAGGCCATGTATTATCAATAAGCTGAGTAAATTTTGAGTGCTTGGCAATGGCAGTGGTGAGAAGTGATTGGATCTGAATATCTTTTGAAGGTAGAGTTGATGGGATTTGCTGATGGATTGGTTGGATGTGGAATATGAGAGAAAGAGGAGTCAAAGATGACCCTAGGTTTGGCCTGAGCATCTGGAATGGTGTTGTCATTTACTGCGATGTGGAGATGTAGTGGGTGGGGAGGAGGATTAAGGGATGGAATCAAGAGTTTGGTTTCAGATGTGTTTAGTTTGAGATGCTTAATAGACATCCAAGTGGGGATATTGTGTAGGCTTTTGGAAAAGGTCCAGGAAAAAAGGTAAGAATTTGGGGATCATCAGCATAAATGGTAAAGTTATGGGATTAGATAGGATCACGAAGGAATGGTTATAGACAGAAAAGAGAAGTGCTTGTCATAGTAAATGCTCAGTAAATGTTGGCAGTTACTCCCATTACTGCTATAACTACTTGAATTATTATTGCTGTTACTTTATAGGAAATGTTACAGAACTGCTGAGTGAACCATAATCTCATTTTCTTATGAAACCCCTTTGAGGAATCAAAGCTATATTAGAAATTTCCATAGAGGATATGCTGTCAAGATCCAGGGAGTTAGATGATCCTAGTGAGTGTTGCTCCTTGAAGTCATTGACCAGTCAGAGCTGGATGGCTTCAGGTGTTGGGATTCGATAGGCCTGGGTTTGCGTCCTGGCCTTACTCTGCACCTGCAGTGAAACCTCTTTGAACCTGTTTCTTCATCTTTGAAAAAGGGTTTACCTTGCAGGGATGTTAAGCAGATTCAAGGAGATGAATATGAATGCCTTCCTTTATCCTCCACTGTTAAGGACTGGGACTCTGGGCCAGTCAAGTTTCCTCTCTGGAATTCATTGGAGATAAGGGAGATACTCTGTTTCTTTTGTTCTGCTTCTTAAAACCTTACTCCAATTACTAGCCCTTTTGTGATGATAACCATCCTTTGTTCAGTGTGATTCATTGCACTTCATTAGATAACAGTGTATCTTTTGTTAATTATAATCTGCTTAATAGGATTATCTTTTGTTTTATCAGCACCACATTGATTAATCATTTTGAAGGCACATGTGAAATCTGATGTTCATTCCTAAAGTTTCAGTTTTCAACCTTGTATTCAACCTACATCCCTAGTATGGGTCCAGCCCTGATTACCCCCATGAGGACAGGGACAGTAGGATTATAACTCCTGAGACCATGTGGCCCCATGTGGCAGCCAGAACACAGAAACCTCTTGATAGCTCCTACTATGGTCTTCAGGAAGCCTATCTGAGGAGCAATTCTTTTTTTTTTTTTTTTTTTTTTTTTTTGACGGCGT